TGTTTTTCGCCACCTGCGTTCAGCTTTTCGACATTCTCTTTTTTCTGTTTTCACGGTCATGGCCTTTCTCCATGGAGATATTTTCTTGCCAGACACTTCATTTACCTTAGTTGGAGCAATGGCATCTATAACATTTTTAATTTTTTAATTAAAATGATCTACTAGCTCATTTACTGAGATGTTAGCAGGGGCAAGTGTGGAAGAAAAATTCTGAGTAAACATTTCCCTAGTATTTTTAGTTAAATATCGCTTTGTGGTTATCTCTTTTTGAACATTTTTGTGAACAGAAATAGAGCTCTCAAAGAAAACACAGGAATGCTCAGAGAGTGCAACATCAGTCACCACAACCTTAGAGATATTCAGACCCTTTGAGATAATTAAGTCCAGAGTGTGCCCCTTATTGTGCGTGGGCTCCGTCACATGCTGAGTCAGTCCATAGCTATCAAGAACACAAAACAGTTCTTTAGCCCCTCTGTCCTAGGGGTTGTCAACATGGATGTTAATCACCAACAATGACTAGACGGTCAAAGTCAATACACACTATAGACAGCAGTTCAGTAAAGTCATCAAAAAAGCTTGCACAGTATTTGGGTTGTGGGAACAGAGCTCGGGAGGAGCATTTCAGCTGAAGGGCCACATATTCAAAATAATCAAAGTTTCCATACGATGTCTTCCTGCATTGAATGGAATCATTGAACAGAATAGCAACTCCACCCCCTTTCTTATGCATTCTTTCCTGACTCATAAAACTAAAGTTGGGAGGGGTTGATTCGATAAGAACAGCTGCACTGTGATTTTGTTCAATCCAAGTTTCTGTTAAAAACATAAAATCGAGATTGTGCTCAGTGATAAAATCATTGATTAAAAATGTTTTTCCTGCCAAAGACCTGACATTTAATAAAGCTAGTTTAAGTTTGTTAAACACACTATCAGTCATGTTTTTTGTAACAAGCTGTGGCTGACATGGAATCAATGCTAAATTAGATAAACTCACACAAACGTTTGAGCGCTTCCTGTTTCTAAGATGATTCACCGCTCTTAATCTATTACCTATCAACACAGATATCAGCAAAGCTACTGGCAGGCAGGACCCTGGAATGTCCTGGAAAGAGTTGAGAGTGCCATACGCCCTTGAGCCTGGACCCAGCACATATCAGTAAGAATTTGTTGTGTTTTGTACACACACATCCTTATCAGGCTTCGGAGACTGCAGATGCTTTCTTGAAGGGAGGGGAGGTGGTTGACCAGGGGGGGGAGGTGGTTGACGTAGGCGCGGTGATGAAGACGGGGGAGATGGTGCGCATCTCTGCTTCGGTGATTTTGGTGGGCGTCGTTGAGGGGCGGGGGTAAAGGACATGCTGCCAACCCTGCGTGTCGCCGTCATGCGGTCATTGAACTCCAGGGGGGTGGGCGAGGGTGAGAGGGTGAGCGGAGAGTAGAGAGAGCTGGGGGATGAATGAAGAGTATCCTCAAAGGCGTTGACAGGGAGGGTGACGGGCAGTGGAGACTCCTCCATTTGTGTCATAGGTCTCCCATAATCAGAACATTCCTCAGGCGGGTGCAGTGATACTTCTTCAGGGTTTTCTGCGCGATGTGTTGTGTCTTTCTCCTGTTTTGATTCCTCTTGCCGCTTGTCCTTGGCAGAGGGAACAGATTGATGACGCAGGCAGTTGAATATGTTAGAGATAAACAATTTCACTCCTGACTTGTTCAGACAAACTCCATTTGCCTTAAAAAGATGTCTGCGGTCCCAGAAAAAGTTAAAATTGTCAATAAAATGGACAGAATGGTCAGTACAGGCAGTTGAAAGCCAGGTGTTCAGTGCAAACAATCTGCTGAATCTCTCCACTCCTCTTCTGACTGGCGGTAGAGGGCCACTGATGAACACCTCTGCATTTAGAGAGCTGACAGTTTCCAACAAACATTTAAAGTCTTCTTTCAGCACTTCTGACTATTGTTTCACAACATCATTTGTTCCAATTTTTTACATTCTGATGTTCAGCCCCAATATGCAGGATCTTCTCAGCCAAGTCAGAGACCACATCCTTGGGAAAACAGAGTACTTTGGTGTTGTTCTTACTACACAGACCTTTTACATCTCTTAAAGCAGAGTCACCCACAATCAGAGTTTCAGGCCCAGTCGTTAGCTTTCCCTCTAGCCTTTTACTTTTGGAGTAGCTATTGGTCCTTACCCTGCTGTGTGAAGAGGACAGGTTATCCGGGTCATCAGAAAGAGATCTCCGGCTCTCGGTCAGCAGAGCGTATCTGTTCTGGATTGGCACACTTGGTGGTTTAGGAGGATTGTTTGTAATTCTCCCTTTAGCAGCTGTCCACTGCTGTTTCCTAGTATGAACAGGGGTTGAAGAGGCGCTCTTCCTGGGTGATAACAATGCAGGCCAGCCGGTCGCATCACAGATTTCAGAATGCTGGGCTCTGCCTGTTATCCGTCCTCCCAAATCCCATGGAAATGATTTACTCTTAGGCTTTGCACCCAGAGAGTTCCAGGGAGGACTACCACTTGTAGATGTATTACCCGGTACACAGCCCTCCTGTTCCTTGGAATCCTTGTAGCTGCTAACTAGCTGTGAGTTAGCATACCCTTTTCCATTATTTTGCAACACTGGTAAAGTGGTGTCATTCCCACGACATAGTCCATTCACTTCCACGTTAACTTCCAACCGTTGCATTTTCATTTCCAACACAGCCATCTTCTCTATAAGTTTGTGGAAGTCATCTGTAGAGAACGGAGGCATTTTGCTACCAACTAGCTTAAGCTAAATAGCATGCAGTAGCCTACCAGGCTTTAGCTGTTGCTAGGCCACGCTTCTGTAAGACTGAGGTCGTCGTAAAAATGTTGAAATACGGCTGAAACCCTCCGTCTATTTACGAAGATGAACTGTCCCAGTGATAAGTTAATGTCCAGGAGCCGCTGCTCGAAGTTTTCAGAGAATAAGAATAGGAAAATCAGCATAAAATGTAAGCAGAGGCAGGAGCAAGCAGAAAAGCGTCTGCACTGTAAGAAAGATAAACAGAAGTCAAACAATTTTTAAACCTGATTTAAGTACAGCTCAATAAATTAATACATAGTACACTTGAAATACACTTACATGATCTCGGTCACTCAAATAATTACAAAGCCTGATTTAAATTCAGGTTACGAACATAACACTTAGTACACTGTGTTAGTAATTATTAGTGTCTACAGTGTGTGCCTATTGAGCTGTTTAGAGCCATGTGGGACAAAACCCGATCCTGCCCCTCCCTCTTACTGTCTAAGTGAACGGTGACTGTAAAAACTACACTGCGCATGTTCAGAATATTTTCCTATTTAATGTGTGTGGCAAAAAAATAATGACCATAGGGGCATTGAGCTGCCATCCCCACCATACGTCATCTCACATCATTCAGAGCTGATTGGCTGTAAGTACGTGTGCCGCGAAAAGTGTGGTGTGTGAAGAAGAGACGAGAGAGCTGCAGTGAGGCGTCCTAAAACCCGGAAGTAAGCTGCGCATGGCTTCCCTCCACAAAAAAGCAATGATATTTCTCCATAGGATTTTAGAAAATAGCTCCAAATAAGGTCTGTGGGAAACGTAGCTGTTAGATAAATGCACGTTTTGTTCAGCCGGATAATATCCACATGTCTACCCTACTTTTATAATTTTTGAATCATAAATCTATTGATTAGATTAGATTTATGATAGACTTTTGAAACTACAAGAACATAAGGAGGACTTTTACAAAAAAGTAATAGAGAATTTTGTCCAGAAGGATAGGCAAATGGACTTAATCTTTAAGTCAAGGTAAGACTGCAATTTTATTGAAAATGGGATCTTACTAAGAGAGAACAATTCAATATTTAAATGATAAAATTACATTTTTTGGGTATCCTTTTGTTGAACTTTCTGTTTAAAATTAATTGAAGCATCAGACAAAAAAAGCTTTTGAAAATAATATTATATTTTGATTTAGGTCAAAATATAATATGTAAACCTGAAGAGTCAGTGCCAGTGCCTCACCAGCCATGAACCTCACTGCAGAAGCTATAGACATCTAAGTTTTTTGTGCCCCACCACTTTTGTACATATAAAAACGCCACTGGTTATGTGTAGGAAACATTGCCCATTCCCTGGACCTGGCCATGACTATGAGGTCGTCCAGATAAAAGGAAACCCTCATGCCATGGGCAGCGCACAGCGGCTGAAGCGCTGTGACCACACATTTACTGAACGTGCGTGGGGATAGGGAGTAGCCGAACGGTAGTCTGTTGTACTCGTAGGCTATCCCCTGATGCAGCCCAAAGTGCTTTACAGAGTATGGCAGAAAATGACAATAACAAATGAGGAACATAGCCTAATTAAAAACAAGGTATTAACAAACAGAAAGAGTTATATCACTGAACCATAAAACATTAACTCTGATACTACTAAAAATAAATATTTGTATTCAAAGTTAAGCCATTAGAACACTTATTTTTTTATTAATAAAATAACTATGTTCATGTTGATTGACAGAAGACATCTTGAAGTTAGGGTTGTTGTTGTCATGTGGCTTGTATCTAATTTGTCCTATAGCCTAGAGGACAACATAAGTAAAAATGTGTGTATGAATGAAAATCCTTTAATATATGGACACATAAATGACTGCCAACCAAGGTAAGAAGGAAAAGGATATTCTAATAAATGCATGATTTAAATTTGGATTTATTTATCTTTGATTGGCTCTCTAAATATAAAACAATGTTAAGAACAGTAAGTTCAAATGTGGCTTAGTTTGGAAAATAAAACATATTTAAAGAAAGCAATATGTATTATGAAGATGCTGATTTACATCGTGGATCTACATTGGTCACGGTCAGCCATTTATAAGATGCAACTAGTAACATCTCACGTTTTGAGCAGTCTATAGTTTTGAGAAACAACCGTTTGCAACCTGTTTGCAACTCATGGATGTAGGTAGAACTCTCGCGATAGTTACGCCCTCTGTGTCCCCTGATGGGATGTAGTTGTTTTTACGACAGATCAGATCGGAAGCCGGCCTAGGATGCTAGTGCTCTCGCGGACCTCCTCGGCATGGGCTCCAGTCATTCTAGAGTTTGTTTGCCAGAAGAGAGCTCCCGTCCTGCGGCAGATAACGGCAGGCTGTCACTCACACTGCAGCCTTGTTCTGCAGAGAAACGCACCGGTTAGCCGGGGAATAAACACATTCACCTCCAGATTCGTTTCAAGTTCGGACGTCCAGTTATCCAGAAAAATCAGCATGTCGCTCAACGCGATGTCGCAGAGAATGGTGTGGGTGGACCTGGAGGTAAGTCACCGGCGAACAACGGCTCTATCCGTGTTCTACACCTGAGGCTACTGGCTGTAGCTTCTCTGACATGTGCTAATAGTATGCTACACCAAGCTAACCGGTAACGCTAGCCGAAAGGATGCTGAGTATAACGTTTCTATGTGTAAAACTTAAATAATGTGTTGGTTAAGTACATGAGGACTTTTTAACGTTAGCAAATCATTGAACACCCCGAAATTAAGAGCTATCGAGATGGGTCTACAGACTTTATGTTATGAAATGGCAACTTCACGTTCTGCCAAGAGATTGTTTGCTATTTATCCATTTAGTTTGAAGCAACATTACGGCAAGTACAAACATAATAGCCAGTAAAACAGATGCTGCACCAGGCTAACCTTTTAAAATGTTTAACATATGCTTGTAAACGTACACATGTGTACATGAAGGCTCAAGTTTATACGAAAAATGATGACATCCCAGAATAACTGATCAACTAATGGATGATTGAGCAGATAAAGACAGCAAGTCTAGATGGCTTTACATGATGTAGATCTCAGACATCATTTGTGTTAACCAGACCATACAATTCTCTACAAAATGTCCCGTCATAATGATTGCTATTAACATTACTGACATGTGACTCTCGGCTCAGTTTAAGTTGTGTTCGGTAGGAACTTCACCAACATGGAATATAGTTACTCTTTACATTTTTAGTTGTTAGCTGTTTTCATATCATCCTCCCAAAAACGTCTAATTGGCAGTGTTGATTATAGAAAATGATAGGTGCAGGCACACTATCATTAAATACTATTTAGCCATGTTGTGAACACATCCATGCTATTATGGCAGGAAGTAATTGCTGTAAGGAATTAAGTGATGCTGTTTGAGTGCCAGACACATGTCACATCTTGCTGTCTTCTGTCATTTTTTTAGATGACAGGTCTGGACATTGAGAAGGACCAGATCATTGAGATGGCGTGCCTGATCACAGATTCTGAGCTGAATATTCTGGCTGAGGTAACAAAACACTATTTTAAAATAAAGAAAATGTTGATTGCTGCTTCTATTCTGTATATGTTGATAACTTAAAGGTCCCATGTCATGGCCATTTCTACTGATCATAATTCCATTGTTGAGGTCTACTAGAATATATTTACATTGTTCAATGTTCCAAAATCACATTGGTTTCTCAAACAGCATCTCTGTATAGTATGTGTATTCACTCTCTGTCCTAAACGGCTTGTTGGAGCTCCTGCCCCCCCCCTAAATGTATGCTATCAATAAAGGCGAATTGCCATATTCTTATACTATATTTATACTTTTGAATCGCACTATTAAAATGCGGAAATATATACAATCTCAGCCTGTGCTCCTGACATCGCGTTCACTCACAGTCACGAACGCAAACGGCTCGCTTCACCACGCTTCACCTCGGTTCACACACCTGAACACAAAATGCAGAAGACTTCAGCTGTGTGGGACCATTTTAAATTGGACGACGGTAAGAAGAAGGCAGTGTGCCAAATATGCGACAAGAAACTGGCCTACCACGGTGGCACAACAAATCTGAAAAGTCACCGGATGCTGTAAGTACTAGCCTAGCTTAGTTTAGCTGTTGTCAAGTTGCCATGATGAAGCTGCTTTATCCGCCGTTTAAACAGTAACGTTACACATGGTAAAATCGTGTAATCGTGATAAAAATACTTTGTTTGGAAAATAGTTGCAAGCAAGTAACCGAATTGTTTTTTTATATTAGTTTTTCAATTGTATCCGAATAGTGAAAATAATAGGAGCAATGTGGGAACATCTGGGGCTAAGGCAATTATTGGCATACAGTTCGTTCATTTATTTTCCGTTCTTCATTTATTTAAATACTGTTTACTGTATCGGTAACAAGTGTTACCCTGTTAGGCCTACTGTTACGGCTATGTTATTAAAAGTATTGTTGTTATAACAGAAATATGTGTTTTGTATCTTCAGGTTGTAAAACGTTATAATAATAATAATAATAATAGATTTAATTTGTTAGCGCTTTTACAGGTGCTCAAAGACGCTTTACAGATATAGTGAAGGGAAAAGAAAAGGAAGGAACAACAAATAAATATATAGTTAATGTTAAAGTCAAATAATACAAAAACAATCACACATTAAAAGCCAGATTGAAGAGACGGAATTTGGAACCAGATTTGGTCCCCGGGCGCTGCACTGCGGCTGGGTTAAATGCAGAGGACACATTTAGTTATAATGTATGCGAGTACTGAGACAATAAATAAATATAAATCGTAATAGTATGCTCTTTCTGTGCTTCTGCTTAACAGCGTGTTGTCAGGTGTCTCGGAGCGTGTTATGAACATTAAAACAAACAAAAAAATCTCTCCGATTCGAATATTCGCTGCTGATTACTACCGAATATCCGGAGCCCGAAAAATGGTATTCGGGACAGCCCTAGAGCACACACATGTGAGTGTGTGGCAAACTGTGAGTGGAGATCCACGCAGCTGCGGCTGAGAAAAGATCTATGCAAGTCAATGGGACTCCCTGATAGTTGAAAATCGACTCTAAAGGTCCCCCCACTGCGTTTGATAGTGACACCAAGGGATCCTGGTGTGTGAGGAGCTCCACGGATTGGTCCATTGGGTCGTCGTTACGTCACTTGGTTCCCGGAAGAACAAATGGAAAAAGAGAAATGTCCAACGAGGCGTTCTGGGGCAGCACAGACAGGTCTTCTCTGTGTTAGAGTTTTACTCGCTACAGGGTGTACTTTGAGGGTTTGTGACTCTGCAGACCGTTCACATGCAGAACAAGCTACATAACACAAGGGGACGTGTAATAACCGGAAAAGCATGACATGGGCCCTTTAACACATGTGTTCTCGGTCGGCAGGGGCCCAACTTGATCATTAACCAGCCAAAGGCGCTGCTGGACGGCATGTCGGAGTGGTGTGTAGAGCACCATGGAGAGGTGAGCTGTCTCTGCTGTAGGGGGTGGGGAGAAAGACGGATACAAAGAACACATTTATCTTTGGGTTTAAATTGAAGACATGGCTTAAAAAGTAGAGAGTTTGTACAAAACCAATTTTATATCACAGTCCAAACGGGTTTATCTCTGTCTTCTGCCCTAGCTTACTCATGTTGAGTCATAGAATGCATTGAGCTGAATACCCTCTGTAAATCTGCAATTCAGCATTAATATATGATTTAATACTTATACACCACTGAATGTGTTTTAATATATAATATACACATTGTTACCTACATAATACATACTGTATGTTGTTAAATTGTACAAATTGCATATTTCTTATGTTGTTTCCTTTTTATTTTTTCTTGATTGCACGTTTCACTTTTTAAATGTAACTTGTAAGCAAATGTAAAGAAACCCAGTTTTCCCCAGGGATAAATCAAGTGTAAATCAGCTGACTGACTGAAGGATGTTTACAGCCAGTGTGCTTGTGTCTCAGTCAGGACTGACCCAGGCGGTGCAGGACAGTAAAATCACTTTGGAACAGGCAGAGTATGAGTTCCTGTCCTTTGTCCGACAGCACACACCCCCTGGACAGTGTCCCCTGGCTGGTGAGTGACCTTCAGCTGTAGTGTGATATAATTCAACTGATGTAGCTCAGTCATGTCCTATACTTCTCCTCCTGCAGGGAACTCTGTGCACGCAGACAAGAGGTTCCTGGACAAGTTCATGCCTCAGTTCATGTTCCACCTGCACTACAGGATCATTGACGTCAGCACCATTAAGGAGCTTTGCAGGAAAGTGTTGGTGTGGACTTTTGCACAAGGATTTGAATATTTTCCACATTTGTCTCTCACAAGTCCTCTGTCCTTTGTTTCTCGTCATTAAGACTTGTCATTTATTAGCCCCACTAATGATCTTATCTGCATGCATCAGTTAGCTAGTCATTGCAACTGTATTATTATTTTAATATGGGTTTGTTCTTTGTAAATACTTTCAGACGGTGGTATCCAAAGGAATATAAAATTGTGCCTCACAAGAAAGCAGCCCACAGGTAAACAAAAACGCATCAACATAAACATAGAAGGAGGAATGTGTTTTTCTTTACTGAGGTCAGGCTTTTGTATATTTGCCATTTGTTTCTACTAATTACTAAAGTAACATTGTAAAGAAGCCATGGTGAACAAAGATTTTTATAAAGCCAGACGATGCGTACCAAGCAGTCAGACACCTTCACAAGTATGGAAGTGCTGAGGAGTGTGTTGCTTCAATCAACTACATCTACTTTTAGCATTAATTGACATTTGCAAAGAAACTGTACATTTTCGTTTTCAAGGTGATGAGTGCATTTGTTTCACAACCAACAAAACTGATAGGAAAAGCGTCTTGAATAAGATCAAAGTTGAAATTATAAAATGATCCAGGAATGTGGTTCCCCAAATAACCAAAGGTTTATCAAAATCACAATGTGGACTAGAGCAATATCGAAATCGCAGTAAGCACAACATTTGTTTTACATGAAAATACAATTCTGAATTTGGTGCACCAGAGAAGTCCCAGCCGAGCGGTACTACAGACCTATTGAATAAGCCTTGTTTGGTACATTCCCTACAAAACTCACCATGGTCGTTTTGATATGTTTTCAATGATAACGTGAATCATATTTCAAAGAGGCTCATTCCCTCTCTGTTCAAATCATATCGCAATATCAGTCAGAATACTATGATAATATATTTTTAAAATCCTGCAGCCCTATCCTGTAAGCTTGATTTAAGGGTCATTGTTTATATGCATAATTCAAGGAATACAGTTAAACTGTGGTTTCCTTCCTCAGAGCCTTGGATGACATCCAGGAGAGCATCAAAGAGCTGAAGTTCTACAGAGCCAACGTGTTCAAGCCCTCAGAGGAGAAGAAGTGCAAAATATCCGAAAACGGAGGCAGCAGCAACAACAGCTGCCACACATGAGAGAAGCTATGGAGCCTCACGTGTTGTGTTTCTTTCAAAAAGAGGAGTTTAGTTTCTGTTTATATTTAGCGGCCAAATATTCCTTTGTTTCCTGATTGTTCCAAAGTTAAATATAAAGGTTTCATCAAAGGGAGCATGATTCTTCTTGTTTATTCACCAGAAACCTATTTTTCCAAGTTTAAAATATATTTGTTTTACTTTAGTGTGGGATTGACTTTGATTTTCCCTCGCTTTTAAAGTGAAACTAATAACACTACATTCTACCTGTGTCAATCTAATCTATCAACAACAAACACAAGCACATCTGGTACATTCATGCAGGAAGTGACTGAATTACATAACTACATACATATTCCTTTGTGTTCTAAATGTTCTTTTTGGAACGTGTTGATGGGCACCTTTATCCCCCAAAGCAATCAATTCACTGCTGCAAGACTAGTAGAACATCAACAAACCCTAAATGCTTGAAAACTGTTTTTGTCCTCCTGATATTAAGTCTGCAAATGATGCAAAGGAGCTTTTCTCTTCCTGTTATCAGAATACAGCACAATACATGACATATATTTAGGAACAACACTAGATGGCAGTGTGCACTTTGGTAAGATTAAAAAGGCAGCACAATGAAAACGTTAAAAACTGAGAAAATGCCTGGAGGGAAATGAGGAGATGAGCTGGGATTTACATGAATTGATATTGTTTCATAATGCAGAAGTATGACTCAGCATTTACGATAAACAGCAAAGCATCAAAGTATTTTGTTAGTGTCAAATTCAAGAGCTAGGTTCACTGCATACACAGGTAAACAATTAACGACTAAGTTGACTTTGTACACATACATTTTCACAGATAAATAAACAATAAGTATAATCATGGGTGATATTTCACTTTTTTGTTACTGTTTTTAAACACCAGTTGAGTATTAACATATGTTTTGTAGTAGAACAAACCGTGTCCTCTTGTTTAAACCACAGACCTTATTTAGGCAACTAACCAATAACATGTTCAAAAAAACTGTTGACTTTGAGAAGGTGGAACTGTAACTAATTTCTTTGGAACGTCTGTAGAGAGACCTGGGGGGTCCAAACATCCTCAGGTGTCCGCTTCCAACCTGACAGAGCCTGATGATTGGCTGCTGTGAGGCCTGATGAGTTCAGGGTCCTCAACCTTATGTCACTTTCTTTTATTTGCTTGAAAAAAGTGATCTAAAATGATGTTTTGGCTTTGTCAATAAGGGATATTTAGTCCAAAAATAATGAGGGAAAAAAACACCTCACCGTTTTATTATAAGGCATGACATGACAGAATGTAAAAAGTCAAGGGGTCGGTATACCTTCTGAATGCATTGTAAACATGGATTGGTTGGTTTCCTTTAAATGTATTTCCAAACGTGTCAGTTCAAGGTCAAGGTTCTTTATTTAGTCATGCGAACATAGCTACAGTGTAGTTATGCCGATGAAAATCTTGTGTGACAGGCTTCTCCAACAGTGCAACACGAACACAGATAACAGAAAAATATAGTGCAAGTCAATAGTAAATAGTAATACAAAAGAAAAATGGTTAGTGCAATAGGAGTCTATATGCAAGCTAAGAAATATGATATTTTCTTAATTATTTCTCAGGTAAATAGAAGTAGCAGCCAGATGAATATTAAGGATGTTGTTTCAACTGTTCAGGTGTTTAACAGATTTAGCTTCAACAGTTCAGGGGCGTCATTTATAAAGCCTTGCGTAGGATTCACGTGGGAAGGTTGCTTACGTAGGACAAAGCAAGTAAATACGCACAGACATTTTCTGATTCATAAAACACTGCGTACCGGCGTAGGACTTGCGTGCGGCACGTCCTACCCGGTTTCCCTTTATCAATCACAATCAACTCGAAATGCGGCGCAGCTTTAGCGGGCTTCACGTAACGCCCATATTTGCCTGTAAATAGTCAAAGAAACGCCCCGTATTAATATTCATTTTGACTGACTGCATGAAGAAGATCACAGGAAATGACAACAGAACAGCTAAAAAAGACATCTCACTCTGGGTGTTTCTCAATGTCGAGGAAGGCTGCTCCAGAGCCACTGGCCGTTTCTCAATCTGGAGGATACTGGCTTCCAAGCCAATATTTCAAGGATGCTACGTCATCGAGTGCCGCCTAAGTACTGTTCCAATCTCCAGCATACTTGGAATTCCACCTTGGTTTGGGGGAAATTTCGAGGCTGCACATGGGTAGACTTTGCGTCCTTAAAATCCCCACAATGCTTTGCGCACGGACCAATTTCAAAAACCCTTGCGGAGAATGGCTGAACCGACGCAGCACACATTTAAATGTAAGTATGTAGTGGCGTAGAACATGTGTTGGTAAATATGTTACTTTGTTACATTGTTTGTTATCACCAAAAATGTGTTCCGTCAAAGTAAAGCAAGTTCATAATTAGATAGACATCGTGAGGTATTTATTTTCGGTACAGTTTATGTTGAAACCGTTAGAGAGAGGTACAATTGTTAGCCTGTTCTATTCTTCTTCATTTTCCGAAGCCGTGGCCTGGAAGCATACTACCGCGACTACCAAGCCAGCATCCTCGAGATTGAGAAACGGCCACTATTTCAAGCATACTTCTTCATCGAGTGCCGCCGAAGTCCTGTTCCAATGTCCAGCATACTGGGAATTTTACCGAGGCCGGCGTACTACGTAGCGAGAAATTTCAAGGCTGCACATGTGTAGACTCTGCGGTCTTAAAATCCCCACAATGCTTTGCGCACGGACCAATTTCCAAATCTTTGGCGGAAATCGCGCTCCATTTAAGGCGGGGCCTCGCATATGACGCACACCTGTTAGCCTGTTCCACAATTCTTCGTTTTCCGAGGCTAGGAAGGATTCTTGCCTCGCTTCTGAAGCAAGTGACTCGGAAGACATGTGCTACCAAGCAAGCGTCCTCGATATTGAGAAACACCCACTGTGTCAGATTTAGGTTATTTTGGGAAGGTGGAGATAAATCATATTGTTTGGTGGATGCAGTTTGAACCAGAGTAGCAGCATGGAGGTCGGATCGTCACCAAAATAAATAAATAAATCGGAGTGATTTCTTTTGCCGACAGTCTCTCGATTCAAGATGTTGAATCGGACCACACGGACCACTATTGCGGTAAGCATGTTGTAACTTCCGGTTGTTGTCATCTCCGGGTATCCCATGTGCCTGTTCTGCTGCTGATAGCTTATTATCTTAACTTAATCGATCGTTTTAAAACTCTTGATCACGGCAACTGCCTGACGTTGTAATCACACGTTACTATAACTTAAGCACTCACAACTCTCCTTCTCTTAGCGACTGTAACTCCACAGTTGCCTACACTCTTTTCGGGTTTGCTAACGGTAGCTACTTTAGCTTGATAGCTAGCCATGGCTCTTTCTCCACCCTCGGGTGCTATTTCCTGCTCTAACTGTCTCATGTTTGGTTACTTCCCTACCTCCTTTACTGGTACCGGTACATGTGTTAAATGTAGTATAGTTGTTAGGTTGGAGGCGGGAATTATAGCCATAGAAGCCCGGCTCCGCATCTTAGAAAGTAACTCAGCTACAGTAAAGCCCATGTTAGCCGGTGCGGACCGGCAAAAGGTAGCTCCTATTAGCCGTCCCCCGGCAACTCCCGAGCAGCAGGGAGACTGGGTGACTGTTCAGAAGAGGCATAACGCGAAACCCGCAGGTCCCCACCAACCCGTTCACGTATCTAACAGATATTCCCCACTCAGCGAGACACCCGCTGAGAAGCCAACTCTGGTTATTGGTAGCTCTATTATGAGACACGTGAAATTAGAGACCGAAGCCTCCACAGTCACATGCATTCCGGGGGCCAGAGCGGGCGACGTTGAGGCGCATCTTAAACTGCTGGCTAAAAATAAACGTAAATACAGTAGGATTGTTATTCACGTCGGTGGTAATAATGTTCGTATACGCCAATCAGAATGCACCAAACTTAATGTGGAGTCAGTGTGTAGTTATGCTAAAACAATGTCGGACACCGTAATCTTCTCTGGTCCCCTCCCCAATCTGATCAATGATGACATGTATAGCCGCATGTCATCATTTCAGCGCTGGTTGTCTTGGTGGTGCCCAGCAAACAATGTGGGCTTCGTAAATAATTGGACAGCCTTCTGGGGAAAACCTGGTCTGATTAAGAGAGACGGCATTCATCCTACTTTGGAAGGTGCACATCTCATTTCGGCAAACATTTCAGGGCTTTGTGGACTTAATCCATGACAAACTGGAGTTGAGACCAGGAGGCGGAGTCGCAGTCTTACACGCTTCTCTGCGATCTCTCCTAGGCAGTCATCCATAGGAATTCCGAACCCAATAAAATACCCAATATTAGCGGTGTGTGTGTCTGCCCAAGGACAAGTTAAGGTAAAACCTAATAGAGGTGTCATACATAATAACCTAATAAAAGTAAATGTAACAACTACTACAGTGCAACAAAACAGGAATATTAAATGTGGTCTCTTAAACATAAGATCTCTAGCATCTAAAGCAATATTGGTAAATGATTTAATATCAGATTATAATATTGATATATGCTGTCTCACTGAAACTTGGTTGAGACATGAAGAATATGTTAGCATAAATGAGGCCACTCCACCCAGCCATATCAATACTCATATTGCCCGAGGCACGGGCCGAGGAGGTGGAGTTGCAGCAATCTTTGACTCAAGTTTACTTATCAATACTAAACCAAAATTAAATTATACCTCCTTTGAAAGTCTCGTTTTTAGTCTTACGCATCCGACCTGGAAAACTTTGCAGCCAATCTTATTTGTTACATTGTACCGTGCACCAGGTCCTTATTCAGAATTCTTATCTGAATTCTCTGAGTTTTTATCAACTTGGGTTCTTAAAACAGATAAAGTAATTATCGTAGGTGACTTTAATATTCATGTTGACGATGATAAAAATAGCCTTACTGTTGCATTTAACTCTATATTAGATTCTGTTGGTTTTTGTCAGAGTGTAAATAAACCAACCCACTGCTGTAATCACACTCTCGACCTTGTTCTGACTTATGGTATTGAAATTGAGCAACTATTAGTCAAACCGCATAATCCTGCTTTATCCGACCATTTCTTAGTAACTTTTGAAGTACTGTTACGAGACTACAAAGCATTAGTCAAAAGCTCCTAGCAGCAGAAACCTATCTGTTAGTGCTATAGCCAAATTTAAGGAAGAGATTCCACCAATACTTAACTCGATAGCATGTCTGCATGTAAGGGAGGAAACTT